ATATACACACACATATATATATATACACATATATACACACATATATATATATATACACATATATACACACATATATATACATACATACATACATATATTCAAAAACTATATGTAGGAAATCATTGGTTTACTTTTTGTTTTATCTGAAAACAAATTTGATTTCCCATGAAATATAGACAGCAACTTAATATGTATAGTAAAATATTGACAAAAAGAAGAAAACTAAGAAAACCTGGTTAAAAAGAAATCAATTAAAATACAGGTTAAAAAGAGGTCTTAGTGAAACATATCTTACTTCTGAGGAGGCTTCTTTTGCTCATTAGAAACAGTATCCTGGAAACAAAGAAATTGGGATTTTATTTTAATCTGATAGCTGACAATGTGACCACAATACAGCAGAAAAGGCCATATTATGCTTTTGGGGTTTCCCCCTTTCTTTTAGTGTAAAGGGTCTGTAAAGTTACAAAGCTCACAACAAAAGGAGTTACTGAAGAGGTGCAGAAGCAATAGCCAGTATGAAAATTTTTATTTTTATTTTTTTAACATTAAAGCATGTAAACCTATTATAATAGCCTCAAAAGGTGCATAATATGGCTGCTTTAGTATATATACATACATATATACCAGGGACAGAGAAAGAAAGACAAAAAAAATGAAATACCTGTTCTCTGACAATAGTGACTGCCATTCCTTTAATTTGGAAGTTCTTTACGCTCTTCAATTTGTTAGCGTGTTCCTCTTTCTCAAAACATACGATTGCCTACATGGACATGGACACACACACACACACATATTTTTGCATTACTACAAACTGTCAGGACCATCTACTCAATAAACATGAAACATTAACAACTCAGCACTACACGTCTAACTGACCGAATCTTTAAAGTAAGAGGTGTTTGAAATACTGGAGTTTATTAACGTTATCCTGGATAAGAATAAGAATATTCCTGAGGCCAAAAGCTTACAAAAAAACCTGGGTAGATAAAACATCTTTTCACTGTCACATACCTCCGAAACGGACCGAAACAGTACAACTGACTTGGTTTTTCCAAATTGTTCCACAGCAGCGACCACGTCATTGTGTGAGAGAGAACTATAGATCCCATCTAGTCTCACCATGGTTGGAGGTGAAGATTTACCAGACTGAGCAAACAGAGAGAGAGAAAAACACAAACTTAGACCTACTGAAACTGGTTGAAGAAAATGGTTAAATGCTTTTCAGATCAGGTCTTTGATCAAAGCGTTATCTGGACAAAGAATGAGATAGAGACACAAGAAAGGAAGGAAAAATAAATTGTTTACCAGATGATAGACAGACTTCCGTGGTACATTAACACACGCACACACACTAACCATAATCTTTGTGGAAGAACTTGCCTCACTCTTCTCCGGGCTGGGGTTTGCTTTAGAGGGCTTTGTTGTTAACTTTTTCTTTGCTGTAGAAGATAATAAGCAAGAGACGACGGAAGACAATTTGTTCCCTACTGCAGGAGACGAGGAGGGTTTCCCTCCTTTGGAAGAAGAGGATGATGATGAAGAGGTGTTCATCTTGACTAGCTCAGCCAATAAGGCAGGAGCCAGAGTTTTAACCACCGTCTCAAGGTCAGACTGTCTTGATAGAGACTGGACAGCTAGAGGGACAAACACAGTCAGACAAACAGCAGTATTTTGGTGGAAGTCTTTTATTTTATTCCTGTCTTTTCGTTTAATATTTCCTATCATTTATGATTCATCATTCTACACATAATGTAGGAGATTATTAACCTGTGCAACATGTTTATGTTGGTGTACAATTAAGGCAAATCTATTGTTCTGTCAAATGACAAATTAACTGGCAAAAATTCTGATAATGAATTTAGTGTTTCGACTCATTTTTTTCATGAGAAAATTCCCAAACTCTGTTTGCAGTTTCTCAAATGTGATTTGCTTTATGTGGTAAACTGAATATGTGCAGGTATGTTCAATACCAGGACAAGTCTTAAAATACATTCTTCAAAGTTTTTTAAATAAAATTTCTCAAACCTGAAGTTTCCAGTAGTTTCTTAGCCAGTCTTTCTGCACTGCTCGACTTCTTTCTTTGAAGGGATGACCCCTCTGTCAAGAATCGCCTCTCACCGCTCCTCCTCCTCGGTGGCGATCGTCTCTCGTCACTCCTCCTCGGTGGCGATCGTCTCCCGTCACTCCTCCTCGGTGGTGAACGTCTCTCGTCACTTCTCCTCGGTGGCGATCGTCTCCCGTCATTCTTCCTCGGTGAGGACCATTTATCGCCTCTCCACCTTGACCGATAATGGGAGGAGGTCGGGTGATTATACCATGGGGAGCGAGAACGAGACCTGATAAAAGTCAGAATGAAATCCTTTTATAACTCAATTAATTTACAGATACATTTAAAACAATCAAATAATTCGCGCAAGTCAAGATTTCTCAAGGGGTGACTGAGAGGCTAAAATGAATATTAAAATGCTCTGCAGGAACATATTTGGTAATTTCACAATCTGAAGTGGTATTGACTCTGTTCAGCCATGTTATTGCTTGTGTCTGAATTTATGTTTGACTGACCTGCGAGTGTATCTGGGACTGTGCGGTGATCGTGAGCGGCTACTGCTTTTCGCCCTTCTACCCTCCAGACCACGGTGGCGACGGGGACTGGACGAGCGGGAACGGGAGTGACTGCCATGGCTGGTTTTCTGGCGACGATTCTGGGAAGTCTGTGCAGAGGTTGGGGCTGCGGGCTTGGCATCTATTCCTGCAGCCCTGAAGAGAGCAATGGGTGAGAAAAGCAAAAGTCAGTGACAGAAAACTGTGTTAATCAGAGTACTGCTTCAAAACTTGTGTGGTTGCCAGGAGTCTGAAAACTAAAACCAGGCAGACACTGTATAGATTCAAACATATTTTCGTCTTGAATTGGTCACCCCGGACCACTCATGCCCCAATTTCTGCCAAATCAGTTGTTGTTTGAAGGGTAGTTTGAGAGGGGTTTGGACTTGTCTTGAAATTAAAACAGTTGGACTCCCCTCATTCACATGTTGTGGCTAAAACTGTCAGTGATATAAAACAGAGACTGTAAGAAATGTACCTGGGTTCGAGTGCTATTTCACCGTCCCAATCTGGGTATCTGTGGAAAAGAACAATTCAAAATCAACAATTAAAACAGTAAAGAGGATTTTAAACACCAAAAGCCAAAGGTTTCTGTGTTGAGGTAGGTGGCTACAAAACGGTTGTATTTGGGTGATGCTCATAAAGATAAAGGATATTGAGGAATTTAAGAGGTTCTGCAAACTATAAATCAACCACTCTTATGAACCCTTAGCAGACCCTCCTTGGTGGGCACCCCCAAACAAATAGCTCTAATTAACAAGATCTTTACAGGGAAAAGTTAAAAGAAATAAGACTGACTGTTTTCGCAGGAGATTGCAGTTCTGAAGGTGAAGGCTGGTGTTCTGGTGGGAGAGCCAATCCTAGTAGTCAAAACAAAAAACACACAGCATTTAGATAAGCCCCGTTATCATCAAGGCTGCCATGAGCTTCAATATCCCAACTGCCATTTTTGTGATTTTCTGACAAAACATTTTATTAGACATTAGCCCTAAATAATCCAAATTTTGTGCCTCATTGTTGGTCTGTTGAGTCTAGTCCAACTCGATGTCTATGCTCTAGTACAAGTCACAATTTGTGTGTATATTAAACAAGCAAGTCTACAAAAGCAAAATATATTTATCTTCAGCCAACAACAGTCATCCAAAAAACAAAAAAGGAGTCCAAGTGAGAAGCTAAGACATTAGCAAACACTAAATAAAAAGTTGACTTTATAGTCCACTCGATTTCAAGGGGAACAAGTCTTTAACATGAAACATAACAAATACAGGAGTCCCAGTAACAAACCAAAATAAAAAGTTCTTCTAGGGTTCTTGATACTGGCCAAAATGTGAAATGCTGTGTCCAAAAAGGAAGAAAATAATCAATAACAGATGGTCAAAAAAGAAATCTCTGCTGTTTGTGTGATCCTTGAAGTATGACGATTGCTGGTATCTTTGGGTTCAAAGTATTTGTAGTAGTGATTGGGGCACAAAAATTCTTAGAAATACACAAAAAGGAGAGTCGGTAGTCTCTATAATATTATTACAAAAAAAGTGATACCTACTGTTAAATATTAAATTAATTAAAGCAACACATTATAATATATGTAAACAAATTCACTTGTTTAAAAAAAATCCAAAGTGAATATTTACTGTGGGACAAAAGCCAAAAAACAGAGACAAGAAGAAAAAGCCATCTTCCATCATCTTCTGATGCATCATCTTGTTCTTCAGACTTTTAGATTCTTCTTCGTTGCGTCTTCTATGGCCTTGGTTCCATCTCAACAACGGCTTCAGAATTCGGCTGCATCTCATCATTTTATTAAATTAAGCAACTTTCATTAGTCAGTAGGGCTGCACAATTAATCGAATATTAATCACAATCACGATTTTGGTTTCCAACAATTAAACAAACATGGTTGTCTACGATACTGATGTTTAAAATGCAGTCTAGGTGCTTCCTATACTAACCTTGGGTGATGAACATGTTTTGGTTTTACTTTTGGGCAACTGGTATGTTGTTGGACACACAAAACCATGCAGCTGCAGGCTGGATACTTTTGTTCACCGAGAAAGAAAGTTTACCGTTGCTGTTCACAGACTCATACTGTGTGCAGAACAAAATCAGATCACAGAGTGATGGTGAAAGGCCAATCATTTGGGGGTTGAATGCTCGGTTGTTAAATAATCGCGATCTGAATGTTGATTTAAAAAAAAATCGTGATTATCATTTTGTCCCTAATCGTGCAGCCCTATTGGTCAGTACTTATTTTGATCTTCTACCCGTTTTAAGTCAATCAAATCACATGTAAATCAGACACTGTCAGCTGTGACTGGTATCATTGAAACATTTTGGTACAAAATATTTTAGATTAAAATACATCAGAATCAATTAATTAAAGTTTGCACAGTTTATGTGGTGGCAGGCTTCTTTCAAGCAGTTCATTGTAATCAAGGTCCACATGAATTCAAAGAATATTTTACATAAATCCTTTCAAACATACTAGACAGCATTGCCCTTAGAATTTTTAAAGGGGACCTTGTGCTAATTTTCTTTATTTTTATTCTGTGATTCCACTAGAGGAGCTTTGCACACACTTCACAGTTTATGCAGCCACTCAGTTCATCCAAACAGCCCATTGATATCTGACATTGTAAACTTATAGGGAATGCATAAATGGTCCCCTTTAAACAATCAAAACCCTTCAACACTTCCCTACAAAATAAATATCTAAAATAATAGTTGTTGTAGTGTTTTCCAACCAAAAACAACAATTTTAGATACTGAAATGAACAACTCACAATGTCCTAAAGTGGGGAGAGAACAGAGTACAGTCTTCTACTCACCTTCATATGAGTACATTCTTTGTTACACAGAGAACAGGTATGTGGAAAGATTTTTGGCGGAGCCGCTGCATAGTCATGCATCATGGCCGGAGTTGGCAGACACTTGGAAACCACTGCTGGAGGCTGCTTGCTGGAAGTCGCCAGTGTCATGTTATTGAAGCCTATCAGGCTCGGGACTGGCTGAGGCAGAGCTGGAGGAATGACGATGGGGCGAGGATCTCCAGGGATAAAAGCT